GTAGATTATGAAAAGGGAAGGTGCTAGCACCCTTTTCATCCATGGTTTTCCATGGGCTCTTAGTTACTTGTTTTAGATCACTTGCTTTTGCTTTTCCAATTGTTTGAAATGGTGCTTTTGTGTATGGTTTTGAAAGTATTTTGAAAAGAGGCCTTCGTTTAGGCAACCTTTGTAATGATTCTTGTTTGAATGTATAGAAAGGTGTTTGTCTTTTGAAAAATGTTTCAATGTTTGAAAGTATGTTTGGAAAATGTTTTGAAATTGTATATGTGTGTGATAGTTTGAAAATAGCAAGGATGGTTTGCAAATTGATCAAGTAAATAGGAGTTGTCTACCCTACTCAAAGATCTTTCCTACACATTTTTATTCCTTTGATATTGTTGCTTTACCATTGTATTTGGTAAACAACCCTATCTTTGTATGTTAAACGGGACAGGCATGGGTCATCGTATGACCATGATAACAATATTGCCAAGTATCTTAGCAAGTTTTTGAGGGTCTAGATCATTTTTGTATAGGCAACCAAGATAGCGACATCGAGGGACTATGATCTTTTTGTTTTGTTTTTATTTTGCCAAGATACCTAGCATGCATACCATGGCCACTTTAAGGCAACAAAGTGGATGAAACCCTAGGGGTGCTTGTGTGCATTGTGTTGTCATTTTTCATGCATTTGTGTTAGGTCAAGCTATTTGTTTGATTTTGGTCTTTGCATACAAAACCCTAATTTACTATCATGGCATTTGAAAGTGATAAAATGCATAAAAGTAAATCTAAGACTATTACAACAATATTATGGGGAGGGGGATACAAGTTTGAATAGGGGGTATTTGCACAAAATAAAACCCTAAAACTATTATTACAACCAAATTGAAATATTGCACAAATAAATAAATAAGCAAATATTTAAATATGCAAATAAATGTAAGTATGCAAAAAATGTTTTTGTATTTATTTTATGTATGTAAAAATAAGTTTATTTATGTCCTAAAAATAAGAAAATAAAAATGATTATTTTTTGGAAAGGGTGGAAACCCTAATTTTGGTTTAATAGAAAATATATTCTAATATTATTTATTCATTCATTTTTATGTACAAGAAAATAAATAAAAATATATACAAAAATGTTAAAAATTAAATTATGTGAGAAAAATATTATTTTAAGTGTATAAATAATAAAAATAAAAATAAATAATATTTTTGTATTATTTACAAATTTATTTAAGAAAATAAAAGTATTTAACCTAATAAACTATCTTTTGTCATAAAAAATAATAAAAATAATAAAATAAAAATGTAAAAATTAGGAAAATATTTTTGGTGATTTTTAATATTTAGAAAAAAAAAATAAAGTCAGAAATCACAAAAGAAATGAAAAATAATACAAAATATAATAAATGGGCTAAAGGGGTGCAAAAAGTAAGCAGGGGGTGTCAAAAGTCAAGCAAGCCAGGCCCAGCCCATGTCCCACTTCGTCCCTAACCTTCAGACAAAAAAAACGCGCGCGCCATGTACAAACTTGTAACTCCTGCATACGTGCTTAAAAACAAAATCTTACAACATGAAAGTTATAGGTCATCATCACACGATTTTAATGATATAAAAAACTTGATCTAACTCTCAAAGACCAGAGAGAATTTCATTGGCCCTAAATCCTGACCTAGTTTTTTCAGCATGTTCATCATCTAAATTCTCCTAGCTCAGTTAATATAAATACAAGCTATACATATGTATAGTTCAAGGACATTAAGGGCTACATTTTTGCTTCACAAACCTAAGCCTAATGATGTCTAAATAAGGAGATAGAAAGTTGACAAATACCTGTTTCAGTCAAGTTCGAATATGGCAATGTAGCAACTTTGAATGGGGCCTGAAGGACTTTTGATCTTGCTTGATGTTCCCTTGACCTTTCCCAATGCTTAGCTTGCTTTGAAATGGTCTGAAACTCCTTGTAGAACTCAACCTGCAAAGCTTCAAAATGAAAATGGTGAAGTGTGCAAACGAGGTTACAGTTGCAAAGTAAGGGCCTGGACAGTTTAAGTGTGATGTTTAGAATGTGTTTGAAGTGGTTCAAGACAAAACGCACGAGGCAAATATGTTTTGGCTTGGTGTTTGCAGAAAATGCCCTGTTTTGGGCAGAAGTTGGTGTTTTTGGGTTTTGGGTGTTTGGAAGCTTGGCAATTCGTGTTTTCTAGCTTGGTACAATATGTTGAACTTGTTTGAAATGATACAAACACTTGCTCTTATCAGATTGAAGAGCTGTGTGGACTTTTGCACAATTGCTTGCTTTTGAAGAAAAGTTGGAATTGACAATGCCAAGGCCTGTACAGGCCTGTTTGCTAGCTGCACATAGTTGGTGAACTTTGCCTGATATTCATGGACTTTGTTTGCAGCAAAAGGCTAGGTCCATGGCTCAAGATAAACAAAGTTACATAAAGTGAACTTTATCAAAGTAGCAATGTTATCTTTTTGCCATTTTTGGATTAAATCAATGTACAATGCTTCATAACTCAGAACAATGCCTTTGTCCAATGTATTTGCATTTAATTAAGGATTGTCGAAAGGTTTAAGACCTGTAAAACAAGTACAAGCATGCTTAGGACAGATTTGCAACTTGTAGCAATGTGCAAAATGCCATGGACAAAAGTGAGAAATGGCCATTTTCAAACTTTCGATTCTCCCTAACCACAAATGATCTTGGAGAGTTTTTGGACATTTTGGAAAACTTGTAAAATTCTATACAATCCATATTTGAAATGCATTTTGAGATTCCAAATGGAACTAGGTGAAAAGTTGCCATGAAGATAGGTCAAAATCTTGCCTAAACTAGGGCAAAATTTAACTAAGTTAAAAGTTTCATGGACCCTTATTCACAAAATCATAACTTGAGATCCAAGCATATTTTGGGAAAACTTTTTGAATAAAAGTTGTAGAGTTTGTGGAGGACTACAACTTTCATGTTGGAAGTTTTCTTTGAATCCAATTGCATCATGGTGAAAAAGTTGGGAAAAGTTGGGAAAAAATAAGAAATTTTCATAACTTAGAAAATTTCGAAGTTATGAAAATTTTCCATTTTAAACCCTAATTTTCAAAATTAGGTTTCTTGGTGAACAAGTTTCATGTTTTGACACATCTTGATGAAAAATGACCCTTGGCACTTGATTTTGACCCAAAAGTCAAAGTTTGACTTTTCATGGTACAGTTGATTTTTGATTAGTTGACTGGAAAATTCATTTGTCAATCCAATGCATTTGAGATCTTTTGAACCTTGTGATTAGGTCAAGATGATTCCATTGAGTTCTTGAATCCATGTTTGAAATTAAATTGCCATTGGCTAGGTGAAAAATCAGAAATTACCCTTATACAGTCAAAACCCTAAAAATGACCATTTTGCCCTTTTGATGGTCTGATCAAATTTCTTGAGGAGTTGTGGTCCAAACTTGATAAAATGGTTCATATGAGTCTATAATGTTGACGTGGATAAAAAATTATGAGGTTTGACTGTAAATTGGCCACAGTTGACTTTTTCCCCAATACAACTAATTTTTAGGTCAACTGTCCAATTGACTGGGCAAAAAATTTGATTCAAGGCTTGAAACTTGGTATGGGAAATCTTATAAGTCCAACATGAAGTATGAAAGTCACATTGAGCATTGGAAGTCCAAAAATCCCTGTGCAAACTCAAACCCTAATTTTAGGTCAACAGTGCAAGGAGATGTCTTGAGCTGAGCAAACCCTAATCTGGTCTTCAGTCCAAAGAGTCTTGTGAGGAAAATATTGATAAAATGAGAGGGCAAATTTTGGGGTACAACAGCTTCCCCTGTTTAATCTTCTTGAACCTGAAGAGTTAGATTGGCGAGTTCGCCGTTCGTGACTCGAAGGTAAAAGATGATTGGACACTAGAGTGCCCGTAAATTTGCACTTGTCAGAATGTAGTTGAGGGAATGGGCTTAGAGATGCCATTTGGAAAGGTGACATAATCTTGGCGGAAGTGGGCTTGTAGATGCCATCAAAGAATGTTTGTCGAACTACACGTTGTAAGTCAAAAGAATGAGTATCATAATGGTATCCGCGTTTGGAACGTATCTGAACTGTATCTGGAGACTGAATCTGTATGAGCAATGGAATGGCGTCCGTGTCTGGAGCGTGTCTGAGCTATAACTGTATTTGATTCTTGAATGAATAACAAAATGACTGCTGTGTTCACTACAAGAAAATTAGTGTTTAACGACACAAAAATTGCGACAGTTATGTGATAACTGTCGTAATTGACATATAGAGACAGTGTTTACGACAGTTGACACCAACCGTCCCTAATATTTATTTTGCGACGGTATATTTAACCATCATAATATTATTATTACGACGGTAAAACAACCGTCGGCCCCCATTTAACACTTTTAACATTGATTTTTCACCAACAACTAGTCACGACGGTAACATTAACCGTCCTAAAAGGCATATCACGACGGTAAAGCACCCGTCGCACCCTTAAACCTTTCACGACGGTAAAATTATCCGTCCTAAAATTCATTTCACGACGGTAAAACAACCGTCGCATCCAAAAACTTTAAAAATTCTCATGGGAACGACGGTAAAACACTCGTCGCCGTAAAAAAGTTAAAAAGCTCATAAAACATCCATTCACTTTCTACTCCTGCGTTCACTTTTTCAGAGAATCCGGAAGCACCGTGATGGCAGCGACTGGCGGCGATTCGTTGTTTGAAAAGATCCCAGAGAAGCTTCACTTTGACGAATTGTCCTCCGATTCCGACTCCGATTCTCATTCCGAATCTGTTAAACCGGAGATTTCATCAGTTAAGGACAAGGTTTTTCGCCTTTTTGGAAGGGAGAAGCCCGTTCACTCCGTTCTCGGCGGCGGAAAGCGTATGCATTACTATCGCTTTCTCTAGATACTCTTTGCTTTTTCTCGATCTCATTTCTCAAATCCCTAACCTATCGTAAATGCGATTTGCATTCATAGATTCATAGCTGCAGAAATGGCCATAAACCTAGCCAAATTTCTCATACTGTTTTTCACTATTTCGATCTGCAACGCCGTCACGAATCCAAGTCCGATTTCCGATTCTCACCGTTCCGCTGCTTTACAACTCTTCGATGGTTCCTCTTCAAGGTCGATTCAACCCTTAATTAATCAAATATTAATTAATTATATCATGTTCAATTGTTATCAAACACTAGTTATTTAGATAAGTTTTGTTGTCAATTAATATTTTAGGTTTGCAGTAGTATGTTGAAATTATATGTTAGATGGCTGAGTAGGAAAATTCATTTTTGTTCTTGTTATCTTATCAGTTTAGAAGAAGCCTGTGATGCTCTAAGAGTATTTGATATTCTTGCGCTTGAGAATAAGCCTGATGTGAGCATAACCACTTGTCGGAAGGTAGTGGAAAATCTCGGGTCGTCGTCCTCTCTCAAGGATTTGTTCTATGCCTTAAAGGTCAATGGCATTTTAAAATGCAAGGTTGATAAGGGTGTTTTCCAGGTAATTTTATGCTTTCGTATTGTTTTAGTGCGGAGTCGAGGCTTGATTGTCAGTGCTTTTTGTTGTGTTTTTGAATAGTTGATGCAAGTTCTTTATTTTGTAAAGGATATTGCTTCAAGACTTAAAGATGCTGTCAATGATGCTAGTACTTTGGTTGACATATACTATACAATAGGAAGTTTGGTTCTTATAAAGGTAATTCTCTAGACTTTACTCAATTTGGTGGTTCTTGACTTGGTAAAGCCTAGTGGGCTGGTAAATGGGCTTTAATTGGAACCTTTGCGGATATATTCTTGCTCATTCAAATCTTAGTAATAATAAATGCGTCTCTCATCCTGCTTATCTAGTTGATAAGCAAAATTCTCCTGGCACTTCTAGTATTATTATCCCAATATGTCAGTTTTTTAGTATGTAATTTTACTAGTGGAAGTAAGTATCTCCTCTTTTCAGGACTATGTTTTTATTTGATTTTATATTGTAGGTTGCAAATTCAAATGTCATATTCGTATATTATGTTCCATTATGCTTCTTTTCTCCTTTTGATCTCCCCTTTCTCTGTTTACAGGATCAGGCACCTGATGTTGATGTGCTTCTTGCTGATGCTGATGGGACATTCCATTCAATCAAGGTTTGTTTTCGTTCTCTTTGAGTATTGTGGGGACTTGGTTTGCTCTGCAATAACTACCATTTTGGTCCCATTGAATGTGACAATAGAAGTTTCATCATAAAAATAAGAACTACACCCTTTCCAGTTAAATTCCCAAAATAGAGCAAAATTGTAGCCTGAGTGCAACTGTGTGTAGATGAAGGTAAAAGGACAATGAGTTTGGTGATGGCGATTTTGGAATGACTTGATGAGAAAGAAAGTAGTGAAGTATTGTGTTGTTGGTTTCAAATGGAGTGGTTCATGGGGTATGTTGATGGTAACAAGGTTGGTGCATTGTAAAGGCCTCTAGTGGTTGGAGTTTGAGTAGTTCATGGGTATTGTGTTGATGGTAATGGGTATTCATTATTGTAAAGGTCTAATATTGGCTGCTAGTTTTTTGAAGCTTTCACCATAGATGTTTTATAAGATGATGGTGTTGTAGAGGTGATTAAGGGATTGATGTTTGGTTGGGCATGGAAGCGGATTGATGTTGGAGCAATGAATGTGGGATGTTTATTCACAAAGGTTGTTTTAATGTAGGCGAGAGCAAAACGAATGGAAACATGACTTTTGATGTGAGAGGTGGGTTCTTGTTACTGTTCTTTGATAACATCACCATTTTCCTTTGCAAAGGGAATAGTGTAAGAATAATGCCACAAATAAAATGTTAGAACAATGTTTGAATCTACTACCCTATATTTAAGTTTTGATGATAACAAAGTGAAAAGATATAGTATTTATAAGTTTCATGTTTGAACTATCTGCTGCCTAAAATTATTATGTTCTGACTTGCAGATACGCTGAGTGAAATAAGCAAGATCACATCTATTCAGCATCAGAACTTGATTTCAGACACCAGCATCAGAAGTTGCTACATCAGAACGTCAAAATCAGATGATCAACTCACGTACATGCTGAAGCCTGATGAACAAGACTGCGCTTAATACTCTGATACAGAAACACAATAGTTCATCAGCAGCGAAGCAGAATCAGAATGAGCCAAGCCAGAACTTGCATTAAGTAAGCAACGGTACTGTGCATTGAAAGCAAATTAATTCCAACGGCTTCATTCCAGACAAGATCTGCTCAATAAGGAAAGTTTGTTATTAGCATTGAATCAAGAATATTGCATCCAACGTTCATCATCCCAATGCTATATAAACAAGGCTTTGAAGATTGAAATGGTTAATGCTCTCAAAAATCTCTACACGCACAAAAGCTGAACCATAATCTTCGTTCTACCAGTTTTGCTAAACCATACACTCTGATATTCCATTATTGTTTAGCAATCTAGTTTCTAAGCTTCAATTTGTGTATACATCACAGTTGTGATACAGTTTTGTAGAAAACATCCACACACATTGTTTTATCTCTTTGTAAGAAAGTGTTACCTTGACAAACCGGGTTGTGGTTTGAATCAAGAAGGCTTTAGCAGTTGTTAAAGCAGTCTGTAATATTTAGTTGAATATAGTGGATTAAGACCTCGTTGGAGAGAGGCGAAATCACCTTGACGGGTGGACTGGAGTAGTTTGAGATCAAACGAACCAGGATAAAAATATCTTGTCAATTGCTTTAGATTTCAGTTTTTACAATTCAACCCCCCCTTCTTGTGTTTTTCACCACTTCAATTGGCATCAGAGCGCCTGGTTCTGAGCTAAAACACTTAACCGTGTCAGTACAAGATCCAGCGTCAGAAAAACACAATGGCAGGAAACAATTCTCACATCAGCAATGACAACAATGAGGACAGAGACAGATTCAGTGGCAAACCTCCAGTCTTTGATGGAGAAAACTTTGATTACTGGAAAGACAGAATTGAAAGCTTCTTTCTAGAACATGATGCTGATCTGTGGGATATGGTGACAGATGGATACACGCACCCTGTGAATGCAAGTGGTCAGAAGATTGATAGAAAATCAATGTCTGATCAACAAAAGCGTGACTTTAAGAATCACCACAAGGCCAGAACCATCCTCCTCAGTGCCATCTCCTATACTGAGTATGAAAAGATCTCCAACAGAGACACAGCAAAAAATATCTTTGATTCTCTCAGAATGACGCATGAGGGCAACGTTCAGGTCAAAGAAACAAAAGCTCTGGCGCTCATTCAGAAGTATGAGGAGTTCAAAATGGAAGAATCTGAATCCATTGAAACTATGTTCTCTAGATTCCAGATTCTGGTAGCTGGTCTCAAAGTTCTGGACAAAGGATACTCTACTGCTGACCATGTCAAGAAAATCGTCAGAAGTTTACCCAAGCAGTGGAGGCCTATGGTTACTGCTCTGAAGCTAGCTAAAGATCTCAACAAAATCACTCTGGAGGAACTTATCAGCTCCCTCAGAAGTCATGAGATAGAGCTAGAAGCTGATGAGCCTCAGAAGCAAGGTAAGCCTTTAGCATTAAAATCTAACAGAAAATTTGAGTCTAAAGTTTTGCAGGAAGTTGAAGAAACATCTGATGGATCCTCATCAGAAGAAGACGAACTTTCCCTTCTCTCCAGAAGAGTAAATCAACTGTGGAAGCAAAGACAAAGGAAGTTCAGGAATCCCAGAAGATCTGATCAGAACGAGTCTTCTTCCAGATACAGAAGGACAGATTCTTCCTCTGGATACAGAAGATCTGAAGGCTCCTCCAGTAGCAAGAAGCCAAACACCAAAGACATCATCTGCTATGAGTGCAATGAGCAAGGACACTACAAGAGTGACTGCCCAAAGCTTCAGAGGGAAAAGCCCAAAAAGAAGTTTGGAAGAGAGAAGAAGAAAAGTCTCATGGCTACATGGGATGACTCTGACTCGTCTGAAGCTGACTCAGAATCAGATGATGAAAGGGCAAACATAGCCCTCATGGCAAACATTTCAGAAGATAGTGAAGCTTCTGAATCAGACTCAGAATCAGACACAGAAGAGGTATTTCCTAACTTCGCTGTTGACTTTACAAAGGCTGAACTTGCTGAAAGCCTTAATGAGATTCTGGAACGTTATCAGCAAATTAGAGCTAAATTCAGAGACCTGAAAAGGAATCTTGAATCTGACTCTAATAAGTCTGAGAGTCTCAAATTGGAAAATTCTGAGCTGAGAAATAAGATTTCAAAATTAGAAAACACTTTACAAAACTCTCAGAAGGAACCAATTTCTGAAACTCCCAGCAACGCTGATGAGATCATCAAGGAGTATGATCACAGTTTCCAGAAGTTCCTAGCTAAAAGCATAGATAGAAGCAGAATGGCTTCAATGATCTATGGAGTTAGCAGAAACGGCAGGAAGGGAATAGGATACCAATGTAAGGTTCCTACACCAAAGAATGTCATGGACTTAACCATTAAACACACTCCTCTAAATTCACACTTTGTGTATGGTCACACACATGATATCAAATATACTAGCAGTAAGCACTCTGTGAAACCAAAATTCAACCAGAGTTTTGGTAAAACTAACAAATCAGGACCCAAGAAAATCTGGGTACCTAAGGACAAAATAATACATGTTGCAGATATCTTTAGCAGCAAGTCAGAAACACCAGTCATGGTACCTGGACTCTGGCTGCTCACGACACATGACGGGAAGAAGGCATATGTTCCAAAGCCTGGAACTTAAGCCTGGAGGCCACGTTGGCTTTGGAGGCAATCAGAGGGGAAAGATAATTGGCTCTGGAACTGTAGGTAATGGAAATCTTCCCTCTATTAATAATGTTCTGCTAGTAGATGGATTGATGCATAATCTGTTATCCATAAGTCAATTAAGTGATAACGGTTATGATATAATCTTTAATCAAAAATCATGTAAAGCTGTTAGTCAGAAAGATGGGACTATCCTGTTTAATGGAAAGAGGAAAAACAACATTTACAAAATCAAACTTTCTGAACTAAAGAGTCAGAATGTAAAATGTCTTCTGTCTGTTAACAACGAGCAGTGGATCTGGCACAGAAGATTGGGGCATGTTAGTATGAGAAGAATATCTCAGATTAACAAACTCAATCTGGTCAGAGGACTTCCTAATTTGAAGTTCAATTCAGATGCTCTGTGTGAAGCATGTCAGAAAGGCAAATTTGCAAAACCTTCCTTTAAATCCAAAAATGTTGTTTCTACCTCTAAGCCATTAGAACTTCTGCACATTGACTTATTTGGACCAGTTAAAACTGCTTCAGTCAGTGGTAAGAAGTATGGGTTAGTAATCGTAGATGACTATAGCAGATGGACATGGGTAAAGTTCTTAAGACACAAGGACGAGTCACACTCTGTGTTTGTTACCTTCTGTAACCAAGTTCAGAATGAAAAAGATCTTAGAATCGTTAAAGTCAGAAGTGATCATGGTGGAGAATTTGAAAATAAAGATTTTGAGTCATTCTTTAGTGACAGAGGCATTCTGCATGATTTCTCTTGTCCTAGAACTCCCCAACAAAATGGAGTTGTAGAATGAAAGAACAGAACATTGCAAGAAATGGCCAGAACCATGATCAATGAGACAAACGTTGCTAAGACTTTCTGGGCAGAGGCAATAAACACAGCGTGTTACATTCAGAATAGAATCTCAATAAGACCTATTCTGGAAAAGACTCCATATGAATTGTGGAAGAACAGAAAGCCCAACATTTCATATTTTCATCCATTTGGATGTACTTGCTTTATATTAAATACAAAGAATTATTTGAACAAGTTTGACTCTAAGGCACATAAGTGTATTATGTTAGGATACTCTGAACGCTCAAGAGGGTACAGAGTATACAACATAGAAACACAGATTGTGGAAGAATCAATCAGTGTTCGTTTTGATGATAAGCTTGACTCTGAAAAGTCAAAGCAGAATGAAATTTTTGCAGGTATAGAAATTGAATTTGCAGGTTCTGAAGACAAGTCATCAGAAGCTCTCAACACAGACATTCCTTCAACGTCTGAAAGAAGCACTGCTAGAAATCCTACAGCAGCTGCTGATCAACCTCAGAAGAGATTACCCAGAAGCAGCTTGGATCACCCAGAAGAGACTATCCTAGGAAGAAAGGAAGATCCAATCAGAACAAGAGCAAGCTTCATAAACTCTGAAGAAACACTTATGGGACTTGTGTCTCTGATTGAACCTTCTTCTATTGATGAAGCACTCCTGGATAATGACTGGATTCTGGCAATGCAAGAAGAGCTGAATCAATTCACCAGAAACGACGTATGGGATCTCGTTCCCAGACCAAAAGGATTCAATGTCATTGGAACAAGATGGGTGTTCAGAAACAAGCTAAATGAACAAGGTGAAGTCATCAGAAACAACGCACGACTGGTTGCACAAGGTTATAGTCAGCAAGAGGGGATAGACTATATAGAAACCTTTGCCCCAGTCGCCAGGTTAGAATCTATCAGACTTTTAATTTCTTTTGCTGTTAATAGAGACATCACTCTGTATCAGATGGATGTCAAAAGTGCATTCTTAAATGGTTATATAGAAGAAGAAGTTTATGTTCACCAACCCCCAGGTTTTGAAAATACAAAACATCCAGAACATGTTTTCAAACTAAAGAAGTCACTGTATGGTCTGAAACAAGCTCCCAGAGCTTGGTATGAAAGGCTAAGTAACTTTCTGCTTGAAAATGAATTCAC